TCGCAATGAGACCCGCCTGAGCAACTCCCATGATGATTTGCGGCGCGGAGTCCGCATATCGCGTGCGTTCAAACAACGAGGCCATAGCAGCTGCGAACAACCAAACACATGCGATGACAGCCCCGTGCGAAAATGCAGCAGACAACTCCAGAACTGATCTTTCGAACATGAAGCTGGGCATATTGCTGGTCACTGGCATCCAGGATGGCGAAGGAAACGCAAAAAACTTGGTCATCCACAATTCGGCAATGGCCCCCACCATGCAAAACGACGCATCTTTGACCGGTAAGTCGTAGTCATCAATCCTGACACCTGCTGGAAGCTGATCTGTTCTCGAAGTCTCGCTTGACTCCATGCCTGAACCACATTGCCTCTGAATGCTCACGTACCCATATCGCTGTGGAAAACGCCGACAAGAAGGGCCAGACCTCAGGCACGACAAGCCTGTAGCAATGAGGCGCCTTGGTGCGGAGCAATGCGTCCGCCACCTATGCTGGAACCGAATATGCCAAGCTGAAGCTGCCAGCGGAAAGGCCAGATACTTCCAGTCCAGGTCGGCTGAACAGCGGGACTTTGGACATAGCTTCAATGTTTTCTGCTGTTGCGGGCACTGCCAGCAGCCACGGCTCCAAGGAGTTGCGGGCTGGATCTCAACAGTGTGCTGAATCTGCAAGAAAGCACAGGAAGACAAATATGCCATGACACATTTTTCTTGGGCCGAAATACATGGAAAAAAACGCTTTGGCTTTCTCGAACTATCGAAGGGACATTTCGCCTGGCTCCAACGGAATTCGAAGTTTCATACTTGTGCTGCCTACGAGCACTGCTTCGCTGACGCATCGTACCACGGTCGAGCTGCCGCCCCAGTGGGCATCTTCGCTGACAGTCACCGTGCCCCCGTGGCAGCGCAAGCTGCGTGCGCAATTGGCACGTTCGAGTGCGATCCCACGCCCACCTCGGAGCACATTTTACACGTTTCGTGCCCCACCCCCAGGGAACGCGAACTGTGGCTCCAATGGGCACGTTCGCGCGCGGTGCCCAGGCCCATCTCGGTCGTCAGACCCTTCACGCAATTCGTGCCACGTTCAAGGCCCTCGCTCGCGCGTTTGCGTGCGGTCCCAATACCCGTCTCGGCAGATCCCTCACACTCTTCGTGCCGCATGATGGAGCTCCATCCGCATCCCTTGCGCGCATGTTCGCACGCGGTAGCTCGGCCCATGGCACACCGCTCGCGCGTTTCGTTTCGTACCGCACAGAGAGTCTCAATAATGGCCCCGAGCGGCACGTCCGCATTCGGTTTCTGCGCCCACGTCGACACACTCCTCACACGTATCGTGGTCCGAAGAGAACTCCCGCTACGACGGCAATCAGCTGGTGCTTTAGACTTTGGCTCGGCCTTCCACCATGTACGCAAGCGCATGGGAGATGAGGGGACCCTTGTTGTTTCGGCCCTGGCAGACATTCAACTACACGTGTTCGACAACGACGAGAGACTGCGGCGATAACGGAGGCGATAGCGACCGTGGCGACGAGGACAAGGAAGGCGAGGGTGGTGGTGGCAACGGCAATGCGGGAGGCGCTGACAAGACTAGCGATGATGAAGGGCGAAATTGCTGGCGGTGATGGCGATGGCGGCGGAAATGGCGGATGGCGGCGCCCGCTGGTAGACGGCGGTCGGCGACGACGATGGGATGACGCGGGCCACCCCCCGTAAAATTCCAGGAACACGCGCGGGCGCGGCGGGCGGAATCGCAGGCTCTCGGGCGGCGGGGGGGGGGCACCTTGTAATTCAGGAATAGGAATTTGCCCTGGGGTATGGTCAAATTGTTGATTCAGCGTAGGACCTTTCCAAAACAAGCACTGTCCAACGGTTTCTTCAACATTTCTGCTAATTTTCTGCTGCGTTTCTCCCCCGATGAGCACCGGGAAATTGATTATCGCTGGAAATCCCGCCAGACTCCAGGTGGTTTTCGCAGAGGACCGTCCTGTCCAATCAGATATCACCCCAAACGACATCTGCACCTCTGCCATCGCAGCCGTCATCCTTATCATCTCCAACATGTCGCCGCCCCTGCTGCCACCCTGTTCAACACTATGGCGATCACTACGCTGGTTCTTCGCAACGGCGCCACAACACAATGAAAACATAACCTTTCTCTGTCTGAGAGGGCCGTTCTCGCCACGCGTATCTCGGCGTACCCTCACACGTTCCGTGCCCCATCTGGAGCTGCGTCTACCGCGGCGTGTCCGCACGCAACAGTCGCGCCAATTTCGTTACAACTCTCACGCGGCCACGCCGTACACTACATCCAGCTGCAAAGGGTTGGTTCCATCGCTAAGCTATTTCTCAAGGTTGCGAAGAAGTCCGTCTGAACAGTCTCATGAATCTCTGACATCCCCAAGCCCGAGTTATTCCAACATCGCTCCGAAACGTTGTGCACACTTTTGGTTTTCATGTATCACCCGATGTTCTATCGTGGCAAGGTTGCAGAGGTAAGCCCTCGAACAGGCAGTGAGGATCTGCACATGGATGGGAGGCTGGAGAGGCTGGCAAGGCCGCGGATGGGATGGGCTGGAAGACTGACGCGGCCTGGGTGGCTGGAGGAGGGAGAGGGCTGGAGGGGTCGAACTTGGCGGCGAGCGAGGGGGGGAAATGAGAAGGAGAAGGCCTTCTCAGAAGGCGGCGGGACTTCTCAGAAGCCCTCGCGCCTTCTGAGAAGTTTTTTTTGTCTTCGGGGAAAGCTTCGAAAGCTTCTCAGACGGCCGGGGGGCTTCTGGGACTTCTGAGAAAGCCCACCCCTTCTCACTTCCCCCCCCTCGCTCGCCGCCGACGAACGGCCTTGGAGGTGAGCGGCGCCCGAATCTCTGGGGATGCTTCAGGAACTGGGGTAGTTACATATACTTTTTGTTGTCGCGGCGCGGGCGCTCGCTGAGGGTGCGCTCTGGCAGACCTGCACCTCGGAGGGAGGGCGAGAGGAGGCCGCCGTAGAGGGGGCAGAAACGTGGCTGCAACAAACAGGGGAGACCCGAGAGGCTCAGGGGGTGAGGGTGGGGGTGGAGATAAGCTGAAAGGGCGAGTATTTCATGCCAGACGGATTTCAGGCAAGCGTGGGCGTGAATGGCATGGGCGACGCCAACCATGCTTGCCAATCTCTCGCTGATCGGTCTCCAAGATCTCCGCGACATGGGCTGCTCGTAGGCGTATTGTTACACAGGCTTCGCTACTTGCAGAGAGCAAGGGCGGGCAACTCAGGGGAACACCACACCGCGGAACAGGGCAAGGGCTGGAATTTGTTAAGGTATGCGCAGTGTTTGGCGGTTTGCCGCATGCTACTATTCGTTCCCCGCCCCTTTACTGGACTTCCCCTGCTGCCGCATGCAAAGTTTTCCAATATCCATCCTACTTTCTCCCTCGCTCACTCCTCCCTGCCTCACTCCCTCCTCTTCTTTACCTGACCGTTGCATGTCTCTCGGGACCTCGTACCACGCTCTGGGGTGCCCAAGCGGTTCGCGAACCTCGTGAGTGCTAGCGTAGTCCCCCCAGGAAATCAATGGCCCTTCTCTAACCGTATGAATTGCGGCGCAGTGCAGTTACCAAAATGTTGTTTTATCTGTGGGCCAGCGTGATGTTCCGGGCAGTGTCGCAAGCTTGGGTCAGCAGTGCTTCAACTTGGTGCAATGAGTTTGCGCTCGCATGTAGACCATCAACGCGTGCTCAACGCGCACTTCTCTGATCGGATGGTGCGATCAATGTGTACGCCAACTTATTGAGATCTGCGCGTCTCAACACTAGTACGACATGGCAGCCGGCAATGGTACTCCAAGACCGTCATGAAGCCGATTCCCTCGCGCGCCTCGACTGTGATGTGTATTTGTCGCATCTGATCACGCCCCGCACCCTGAGAACGGCAAGCCGAGCCACGCCCAAACGTGGTGACGAGGAAGTCGATCGACAATTGAAAAAGTCCGCCGTCCCTCGGCGTGTGTGGGAGGCTTGGGCACCCGCGTCAACCCGAAGGGGCCGTGCCAATCACCCGAAGCGCACACCAATCTGAGGGGCATCTAGCAAAGTATCGTAATTGCGTGAAGCCCCTTCCCTTGGATCTCTTCCCCGCGGGGGAGGGGGGGTAGGTTGAGGCGGGGGGCATGTGCGTGTGTGTGTGTGTGTGTGTGTGTGTGTCTGTCTGTCTGTCTGTCTGTCTGTCTGTCTGTCTGTCTGTCTGTCTGTCTGTCTGTCTGTCTGTCTGTCTGTCTGTCTGTCTGTCTGTCTGTCTGCGTGCGTGCGTGCGTGCGTGCGTGCGTGCGTGCGTGCGTGCGTGCGTGTGTGTGCGCGCGCGTGTTTGTGTTTTGTGTGTTTGTGTGCCCTACCTCACCTCCATCCGAGCAAACTCGAATTGCTGCCTCTCGCACCGACGCCCACCTCTTCCGTCCTGGGTGACGTCTTCCAGGGCCGGCTGAGCCGGCCGCAAGGTCTTCGCAATGAAAATACTGCACGCGCGTCTTCGAGAACCGTTGATCATGCCATAGGGGAGACGGGACAGGGGGTGGAGGCAGCGATGCCAAGCCGACATTGGGGAAACATGTGAATCTGTAACTCAGTGTGCCAGCGTTTGAATTTGAGAGCCTTGCGGCATGGATAGTGAATTTTAACAGACGTGCGCTCGGAACGAACAAAAGCAGACTTATGGGCCGACTAGGCGACTAACAGTTCGCAAAAAAAGGTGTGCTCATTTATGACCGTTCCAGGACTCGCGATGGCGACGAGAGGCGATAAGCTGGCTTGCTGGAACCTGAAGAAAGCTGGACACTCTCTGACCAGTTCGGGGTCAGCCATGCGCAACAATCCAGAAAGCGGGGGAAGGAAGGCAGGCAGGAATCAATGAAGGAGGGAAGGGAGAAAGGAAGCAATGAGGGCGGGAAGGAACAAGGGGACGGATAGGAAGCATCCAAGCCTTCAGAAAATTAGAGGGAGGGAAAGGCGCAGCGTCTGTGCCCGCTGCCCAGTCGGCCACCACGCGGTCGCTGATCTCCGCGTACTGCGGGTTCTGTTCTAGAAACAGGTCGACCCAATCGAAAGTGCCCTGCCCCGACGCTTCTTTCGCTCAAGCCTCTCACACCCCAGTTGAGGCGGAAAAGCGTGCGAGCAGGCCGCCAAAGGAAGCCTGGCCATGGCGCGCTTTGGAGAATTCGTGCATCCCGCTATCCAAGCTTCGGCGCTTGCCTCTGCAGCTTTTGGACATCTGCCACGGTGGAACGGTGCCGCCCTTCGTTGTCTCTGCACATGTCAGTGTGAAAGTATCTGCAAATGTGCGCGTGGGGTGCGTGACAGATGCCAGCCCTGCTCGCGATCCAAATTTCGTGATCCCACGCTTCGCCTGGGAGACCTCCGCCCCAGACATCCGGGTGCTCCCATTTTTCCGATGCGTGGGCCCCAGAGGTCTGGACCACTTCCCCAGGGCTGGTTGGAAGGGGCCCTGGGACACACACACACACAGACACACAGACACACAGACACACACACACAGACACACAGACACACAGACACACACACAGACACACACACACAGACACATACACACAGACACACACAGACACACACACAGACACACACACAGACACACACACACAGACACACACAGACACACACACAGACACACACACAGACACACACAGACACACACACAGACACACACACAGACACACACACACAGACACACACAGACACACACACAGACACACACACAGACACACACAGACACACACACAGACACACACACAGACACACACACAGACACACACACACACACGCACGCGCACGCGCACGCGCACGCGCACGCGCACACGCACACGCACATGCACACGCAAACGCACACGCACACGCACACGCACACGCACCGGCACCGGCACCGGCACCGGCACACGCACACGCACACGCACACGCACACGCACACGCACACTCTCACGCACACGAACACGCACACGCACACGCACACGCGCACGCGCACGCACGCGCACACGCGCACACGCGCACACGCGCACACGCGCACACGCGCACACGCGCACACGCGCACACGCGCACACGCGCACACGCGCACACGCGCACACGCGCACACGCGCACACGCGCACACGCGCACACGCGCACACGCGCACACGCGCACACGCGCACACGCGCACACGCGCACACGCGCACACGCGCACACGCGCACACGCGCACACGCGCACACGCGCACACGCGCACACGCGCACACGCGCACACGCGCACACGCGCACACGCTCACACTCGCACACGCGCACACGCGCACACGCGCACACGCGCACACGCGCACACGCGCACACGCGCACACGCGCACACACGCACACACGCACACGCGCACACGCGCCCACACGCGCACACGCGCACACGCGCACACGCGCACACGCGCACACGCGCACACGCGCACACGCGCACACGCGCACACGCGCACACGCGCACACGCGCACACGCGCACACGCGCACACGCGCACCCGCGCACACGCGCCCACGCGCACACGCGCACACGCGCACACGCGCACACGCGCACACGCGCACACGCGCACACGCGCACACGCGCACACGCGCACACGC